ACAATATATAAGGCTATACGACACTATACAACTAGGCTGTCACATAAGGCTAAAAATATGCCTAGAAAGTGATTTTCGTTGCACACATCTAGAGGCTAATGATTTCTTTCATAAAGTAGTAGAGGAGCATGCTAAATCAAATAATAAAAAAAGCCCCAGGTCATAAGTGTGCACAACAACGAGAAATCGACTATATTCTGGTGATGACGTCATCTATAGTTCCGAAAGGTAAAAATGTTCGAATTTCGAAAAATTTTAATACCATCAGATTGAGGTGCATAATTGGACAAAAAAACTATATTACACTAATAACTTTCAGTCGTTCGTTACCGAGATATCACGTTCCAAAGCTTTTGAAAATGCTGAGTCAGCATTTTTCCTTCTCCAGTAAGGCTTATATTGACAGACTGTATGCAGGGAAAGAGCTTATTTTGCACTAGTACCTTAAATTGTGCACCACAGTGTGTGAATTAAAGTGGTTATGCAAGTCAGAAAACTAAAATGCAACTAAAAAATTCAAATTGTTTACCCGTCATCTAAAGCCTTTGAAAGAAACCTAGAAGATGAAATCTGCTGCACATGTCACCAGACTAACTAATTTCACCATGATCAGACAGTTCTTTTGGAGGTAGTTCTGATATTACATGGCAAATTTTTCCAATGCACGCTGCACACAAGCAAGCGCTAGCCATGACTTATTATTACTCAACAGGCACATTACTCAACAGGCAATATCACTGAACATCGAAAATCTGCTATTAATTCCACTCTGTAAAATAACTTCTTTACAAGAAATTCATTTGGTAAAGTTATTCATTCAGCTACAGGCAGCCAAGGGTCCATAAGCCACTTCACAGTGGCTAGCTTTTTCTTAAGCAATATAGAAGCATGATACAGAATTTGTAGCTCATTCAATATGGACTGTGTAGCACTGTGATTATCATCACATCCCATGTTGTACAAAACCATTGAAGTTGTTTCACATGATGTCTTATCCTGTCCATACAAATAGTTAGTATAATTCTTGTATCACTTATTATGGTACTTAACCTCAATGGCAACACAATCTTTTCCACAATTTTTAATAAGATCCTGTAGTTGTCCTTTTTCTTTGTGCCAGCTTCGCGCAATAGACCTGTATCCGAAGTCTCACACGCAACAAGGGTTATTCTTCACAGATAATAATTTTGGAATAAATATTATTCAGGTGATTATTTTGCTATGTGATCACTGTACCATTTGCTAGCAACTGTATAATGATTTCATTTAATGATAAATATACCAGATAATTACAATGTAAGAGATACCATGACAAACAAATCAGATTGTTTCTCGCATATTATGCATACTGGGGGCAAAACATTTGGTGATCTAGCCTTCATGTCACTATTTTGGGGACCATCATTGTCAAGTGATGGGTGTAAAAGCTACTTTAGAGGAACAGTCTGCAACTTCACAGCCAATTAAGATTTTACTGCCTCATGTTCTCTTTTCCCCCACTTTTTGCAACTTGTTTTAATCACAAAGTCTTTTATAGCAGTTCTCATGGTAATGCCAGTCGAGTTCCCAGTGCCTTCTGAGGCCCCATTAATTTTTTAAGTGGGGCCCTATTTTTTCAAAATTAAGTTGGGGGTGGGAAAGAAACACATTTTTCAAACCATATTCCGTAAAAATAACAACTTTTTCCCTATGTTTACCATAAAGGGGGTCCTATGTTGCCATTTTGGGGGCCACATGTTGCCAATTTTCTGACCCTATACAACTGAGGCTCAGGCCAATTTTCCCAATGTACTGGCAAAAAGTTTATGGTCATTTTTGTCAGGGGGGGCAGTTGCGGTAGCCCCCGCTTCTGGCCACCCAAACACCCTTTGAGTTCCCCACAGCAGTTAGAGTGTAAAAAATGCCTTTCTACATTGGGCTATCTATTTAATATCCACATCCCCCTCCTATCGATAAGGTCAGTAAAATTTTAACTCCCAAGAAAAAAAAAGATCAAAGTGCTGACAGCCTGACATAAAACCCCCTCAGACATTTGCAAATTTTCCCTTACCCCTCAAAGTATGAACAATAAAAAACATCAAAGTATGCCGACAGGCTTAACCGCACAGAAACGACTTTGGGGTCACCCTTCAGAAAAATTCACCCAAAGAGGACGGGGGGGGGGGGGTCTGGACATTAAAGATGCGGTACAGTCCGATCTGCGCATGTGCACAAAAGAGCCCTCTTATTATACAAACAGTAAAAATGTAATTGTTGTGTCTTGATAATTTATTATACTCTAGAATCATGAAAATATAAATAGTTGTCGAATAAAATTCAATGTTTTGGATACCGACATGTAAACAAAGCCTTTGTTTACATACAGACTGTACCGCACTTTAAATTTAATGCACCCCCCCCTATGGACAAGTTCAATAAAATTCGAACCCCTATAAGGTCCTATAAAGAAGAAAAGATCAAAGTGCCAACACAAACACCCCCCAGAAATTAAGACATTTTTGCCTTACCCCTCAGAAAAAACGCAAAGACCAAAAGATGCCGATGCACACAACCCCTCAGAAAGAGCTTTTTCAACCCCCCTCAGAAACTCTCGTCTATAGGGGTGGGGTGGGGGGTGGGGTGGGGGGTGGGGTGTATAATTAAATGGTGGCCCCATCTTCGCTAGTAAACAAGTTCGAATTGTGACAGATTTCTGGTCTTTGAGCTTCGCCAATTTTTCACAACAGGCAAAAAATCTCTTCCGAAGCTTCTCTGTGACCTTTAGAAGTGATTGTGAAACATCCTCAAAATGAATACAACATTTATTCAATTTTAAATGTTTGAGTGACCAACTTGTTTCAGCTGCCATATTGCTTTTATCCGTGCGTGGCAGCTATGTTGCCATGGAAACACGTGCAATTTCAAGATGGCGTAAACGAAACATTGATCGAATATTATCAAAGTTTCAAGTTTATTTTCTACCTATTGTGCACACTAGTGAACAGGGGCTTTGTATTTTATAAACAAGGAGACTAATATGCATTGTGTTATGGCGGAATTTTTTAGCCTCGCAACATGTGCAACAAACTTGAAAGATATAGCAGATGTGTGACGGCCTAAATGTTATGCAAGACTATATGACACTATGCAAGACTATACAACACTATACTACACTATAGACGACTATTATACAAGACTATATATACAAGACTATAAAATAAGACTATAGAACGTTTTACAAGACTATACGACACTATACAACACTATACGTCATTTCGATGTTTTCCTTCGTCGTTTTCCTGCAATCGTTTTCACGTTTTTCTTCGTAAATCATAACAACATTTGCCAACATTGAACATGCCTGCATCATAATATGGTCAATATAAACTTATTACTAATACAGTAAGTGAACATTGGCAACACCGTGATTAATTGGCTAAAACGTACCTGCAAAAAATAATATATTTTGATTCAATATTCTATATTTTGATTCAAGCTGCATCGTTATAACTCGGTCAAGGAAACTGGCACGAGTCATGACATCAAAATCAGTTGTCAAGAATAGTGTGCTGCCTATGGCAGCAATAACTATGTGATTAGTTATCTAGTTAGGTTGTGCATTAACGCTAACTGGACTTAACTTTACCTTTTCATACAACTGGCCCCAGGCTATTAGTAACCTGGTCACTGCGTTCATGTGTGTCTCTCACGAAGAATGCGCGAGACTTGGAAAGTGATTTAATGAATACATTGTCTGTTCATATTGTTTATGATTGGTGCAAACTCATACTTTAACCAATAGAAATCGACCTTTCCATATGGCTACATCTATTAGATGTGTTGCAAAAACGTCTTTGTTCTCTTGGTTTGTTACCTTTGCCTGGAACAGTATCTCTGTGGGTTGTAATAAAAAAGCTATTTCCTAAATCTTACCATGTCCAGCTACAAAGGAAAGGAATTGTCAGAGGTTTGTATCATTTAATTTTTATGAGCAATATACATTGCGTCCAAGAATTTTAAAGGGGGTGAATACGCGATGAGACATTTACTGTACGTTATAAACATCGTAAAAATGTCAAAATGTCGCTGGTCGAGTTAATAGCGTTTTTCTTTAGTGAGAGAATATGTGTTTTTTGTTGTTTTTCACAAAGGATGGTAAAACGTACTATGGCAAAGACATGAAACTATTTGGTGATTTCACACTCAAAGTTATGGGGACAATGAAACTGGCAGAAGAAAAGACGACTGGTCATTATTAGCTTTGTTCATGTGCCACGCCAGATGACAGTGAAGAAAATTCAGTCAGGTGCGTCTCATGGCAGAATTGCTTTATAAGACAGGTGCGCAAAGTGCAGCACTTGGTAATGTGTGTGTGAACAATCTATATTCAGCATGTTATTCTCTTTTATATTTCATTACGGGTTTATATGGCTAGACCTTAAAACAGCTATTCAATAAATTTTGCTGAGGTGTGATGTGTCAATGCCGCATTGAATTCAAGCAATGTGTCGAAATTCTTTCTAACTGTGATAAACTGTGTGATTATAGTGTTTATTCTTTTTTATTATGTGGATAAAATTCTAGGTTCGATGAATGTAGGTTATAGTTTTAGTAATTAATAGCATGTTCTAAAAACCACGGTGTGAAACTTGAAACTATTTAATTGGTAATAAAATACAATATACTGACAGTAAAAAGTCACAGGCGTGACGGAAGCGGCAGTGCTATATACCTATATTAGCCGGCCATGCGGATTGCAGAATATTTGCATGTATGCTCTATTTAGCAGTGAATTTTCTGGAAACGTATAATTATAATATAAACGTATAATTATAATAAGCCTTGTTGTCTATTGTTGTTAATGTGTTCGGCACATGAGAAGTACGAGGTTTGAAACAGGCCTAAGCTTGACAGAGCTATATGTATTGCTACAGAATAGTTATTGATTAACTATCAATGTAGTGCAGCTTAACTATTAATATAGAGCAGCTTTCGTTTTTGAAGTCTTCTGACACTTGTGCATGTATCTTTCAAACAGGAATTTAAAGAGGAACAGAGAAAACAAACACAAAATCCAGTTTCCATTTGGAGTGTACTTCAACGCAAATGGAGATGCGATGCTCAACGATATGGTGAAAAGACAAGGGACCTGTCAACGGAGAGCGTACAGAATCCCTTCGAGTGTCTTGTCATCTTACACTAGGCACGTTATTGAATTCGGTATGTTCAACATCTTGAGTTTCAGGTGCCGTATTAATTTAACGTAAATAGGAATGGATACGAATGTGGCCAGAATTATATATATATATATAAAATGTTCTCGAGTGTGTATTTCATAATTTCCATACCCAGCGCAAGCAGAAAGATAAAGTCTGCCACGGCTGCGTCTTGAACCTGCAACCTTCAAATTACTAGATTGATGCTCTACCAACTGAGCTACATGGTCAGACAGATTTAAGACTGGAAATTATGAACTATATACTGAATGTCATGAACATACTTGTTTATATTAATTCAGCATCGAACCATACTGGTTCTGAAAGTGTTATGTTATGTTGTGTTATTGTTCAACTCCGTAATATGATAAGTACAAAATGTTCTCGAGTGTGTATTTAGTAATTTCCATACCCAGCGGCAGATATATATATATATATATATATATAAGGTATAATTATAAGATATAAATTATTTGCTGTTAATAGCTTGCAAGATTTGTGACGATCAGCCCAAGGACAATGAGGGAGGCAATGAAGACACAGGGATGCTGAAATTATTCCAGGAGGATATTGAAGTGTTAGAGGCCGTGGAGAACATGCTCCATGTACAAATGGAAGGTACACTCCGGAAACTGGAAAGGAATATGTAGGAATATGTGTAGACATAATGAAGTTGTGAATGTTTCTGTTTAGCGTGGGCAAGTAATCGTGTCACAGATGGCGAATTAGTAGAAGACAATCTGCAGGTGGCTGAAGATATCAACTACGATTACAGTTTTACAGAGGCAAGATTTTAAGAGAACAATATATTAGTTTTTAACTGAAGTTTATTTGAAACTTACACTTTAAAATTGGAAATCGTATTAAAATGCATGTTACTATATAAGCATTGTCTGATTGTGTATGTGTTGTATTTCAGAAACTCGCGCAAAATACAAAACAGAATTTTAATAAGCTCACCCTGCAAAAGAGAAAAACGTTTGCCTGGGTAAGGTTGTTCTGCATTATTAATGTGGAAAATGTATAGTTTAACTTCATAATTTTCCACGAATTGTGTGGTGTATATCATGGAGCCTGATGGAGGGACTCCCTCATTATCAAGTGTGTGTTTAAAATCCTGTCAACTGTTCTAATTAAATGAAACAAGATGATAAATGCTGTAAAAAATAGATGATGAACTACTTCGTAATGCATGTTGGTGTTTTAAATCATTTTAAATAATTTTAGCAAAGGGAACATGAAGAAGAGGAAACGATGCTTCTTTGCGAAACGAAACAGCCAGAAAACGTATGTATATATTTGCATGCATGACTAAGTCTAAGATATGTTCTCAAACAAACGTTAAGTTCATGCATCCTCTTTGTTGATCCTTCAGTCACCATTTTAATACCCTTATTTTCTTTCTAGTGTCCTGGCAACACTTATTACCACTTGGTATGTCTCGGCCTAAAAGCAATTCTGAAGGGAAAATGGTAAGAATGTTATGCATATTTCCTTAATATTTTCTTAATTAGCAATAATAATTTTATTTTTTCAAACAGGCAATGTACAACATGCAAACCATTATCTGCACGAAGAGAACTAAGGGGAAAGCAATAATATAGTGTCTACGATGAAGTGCTATATACCTCAACAGACATCACAGTCTATTCCTCGTTTGTTATATATTTCGAATATAAGGTGTATTTAGCATAAACAAGCAAAAGCTTGTTCTGTTACGTGGATTCCCCTAGAATCTGGGTGAAAACTGTGATTGGTTGATCAATAATTATTCAGAATTATGTCATTGGCCAATCTATAATTAGGCATGTGACAGAACAAGCTTTTTCTTTGCCGATTAAGAAAACTAGAGTTTATGCGTGGACTCATGCACGCAGGCTAAGCTGTATGTAGTCAAATGCATGCACAATTGGATAAGTCTCACTTGCTACTGGATTGAGCTGGTCAAGTCCGTTTTCCACATGTGCTATGCGAGGGCCTGCGATGTGACAATACTCAAATTTGTGCATTTTTCGACATTTTCTTGAATCAGAAAGTATTAAGTATAATATTAAGTATATTAATTAATAGTTAAAGATACGTCAATCAAATTTATATTTATCCAATTTGAAAGAACATTGAGGATGTTTATACAAAGCCCTTTTACAAATGTTTGGTAAATTTCTTAATTTTTAAGATACTGTATTTAGGTCATTATAGGATATCTTTTAAGAGCTGATTGTTCAATTGCAAATAAACTATGGCATAAATCACAAGATTTGATTATATTGACCACAACTATCTTCCAGCCTCGATTCCAGCTGTAGACTAAATTTTTATCTGGGCAAGAAGACCGAAATCCAACACCACAGCTAGAAAAAAATCTTAGAATGAGTAAAACTGAAACGTTTGTTTGCTAAATGTTGTAAAATGAAGAGAATATATCCCTGTGAAGTTCGGAAATTTTGTACATATATATTCATATTATGCACGGTAAAAATAACCACTTTCAGCTCAAAAATGGTCTACTGTGGTAATGAATTTCGTTCTTTTTGTCTAGATCAAAATTTCGTCTATAGCAGGAATAATGTAATTATTATTTTTTGAAAATAATTCAAGAGTTTTGATTGGCTAAGAAATAATCATATCAGCTCGTCGTTGCCCAAATTTAGAATTATGCATGACATCACCGTGGAATAATGAAAACGAATAGGGCTTATACCTGGTTTGACATAATTTTGTGGTATATTGAAAAACAATGTAACACGCTATGACGTCACGTTAATTTATGGGGCTTATCACCTTATGTCAAAAGAAGGAAAATACAAATGCTTCCTCAATCTTATCTACAATGCAAGCATTTAAACTGAGTCCAAAATATTTACAAATAAATAGTAAAACAATTATTGTATTCGGTTCTCGCAGGATACGAGGAATCATTAATGCCTCAGTTTGTGTTTATCTGTCGTAGCTGGAAAACGTAGCTGTCCTTTATAACAAATTGCATGTGGGCATTTCAACATACTTTCTGGACAGTTTTGAGTTCTTTATATGCAATATACTGCTCTCTCACAATCTCCGTATTTTGGTAGAAGTCCATTAAATGGGTGGAGAAATTCTGCATACAAGAACTTTGTAAGTGACGAACATTCTTCCTGTTGTTTTCCGACTCTTGATAACTTGTTTTGATGGAATTAGACTGTTCTAACAGATTAATGTTGTGATATTCATACAGCGGGGACTTGTGAGGGTTGCTAGCAGTGTGAAATCTGTCGCCCAATACATATCGCCTTGATGAGCCTGTAAATGGGTGTATCAAGGTGTCACTGGACTGTATTGTTTCAACATTCTTCAATCGATATTCTGCCATGGTTAAGAGTGGCACATTCATACCCTACAAGGAATAAGCACAAAAATTTATACTACAGGTCTGGAATTATATTTGAACGAGTAAATTGAATGACATGACAAATAGTCCATAAACAAAGTAAGTTTTCTATGACAAGGTGGGCAATTCTTGTAATGGTGTAGCGTTCCTCAGTAGTAGAAACTACCACCTGAAAGCAAATTAGCTGGCAAATAAACATACAGTGTCTGGAGATTTGTCCAATGATGGCTCCTCAAAACATCCTCTGAACTTTCCCCAAAGTTGTTGGCTTGTATTTTTGTCACGACATTCGAGGTGCCTCACAAAGCCACATGCTGTGTCACAAAGGAAAACCAGAGGAATATATTTTAATGACAGATACAAATCGACAGGATCCCGCGCAGATTCTTGTAATGTTACAAACTTCGATGCTGCTGTAACCTAAACATAGTGTTGCACAATGTTTTCATGTTGTTCATATTACGTCATATCCTATGAGAAGAGCATCATGGGATCGGAGAACACTGATGCCTTGTGTGTGTGTCTCGTATTATGTTATGTAAAAAAAACCTTTATAAAACTTATAATATATAATAAAATATACCGAAATAAACCAAATGAGTTCAACAGGTTATGGGCCCAGGAGCAATGCTAAACTGCAAAGACTTTTATTTGACAGAGATGAAACGAAATACGAGCTTTGGGAAACAAGATTACTCGGTTATTTGCAAACCATAAAATTGAAGAAAACAATTCTATCGTCGGCACCACTTGAGCAAGAAGGCGACGAAATGAAAAATGAAGAGAGTTACGCCGAGTTAAGACAACTTTTGGATGATACTAGCCTATCGTTAGTGATGAGAGATGCCACTGGTGATGGAAGAAAAGCCTTAAAGATTTTACGCGACCACTACGCAAGTCAAGGTAAACCTAGAATAATAGCACTTTATACTGAGCTCACTTCACTCAAGAAAGGAACGAGCAAGACAGTGACAGACTATCTAATACGAGCAGAAAGATCGATTATGGCCCTGAAAAACGCTAAAGAGACACTTAGTGACAGGCTTGTTATTGCCATGATATTAAAAGGTTTACCTGACTCATACAAACTCTTTGTTGTCCATATTACACAAAGTACAAGTGAAATTACATTTGCTATGTTCAAGTCTCAACTGAAAAGCTTTGAAGAAACAGAGAAGTTTAATTGTAAGCCAAAGACTGATCAAGTAATGAAAACTGATTCCCCATCGTTTTCTGCATCCAGTTATGTCGCATGTTATGCTTGTGGTCGCAAAGGTCATATCATGAAGGATTGTCCTGACAAAACTAAGAGTGAAACAAGCAAGTGGTGCTCATACCGCAAGTCAACAACGGATAGTGATAGTACCTGTCGAAGACATCAACGAAAAGACCAAGAAGCTACAAAAGTAAAACAAGCGACATTTGGTGGCCAGTCCGATGACCCTGGGGATGAACACTCATACACTGTTAATGTGCAAGGGAGTCACCTTAAGCAATCACAGTACAAAGCAAATGGGATGCTTCTTGATACTGGAGCTACATCTCATATTGTTACAAAAGATGTATTGAAACGTGTTGATGGTAACTTTAACCCAGCAAAGCATTACATGGAACTTGCTGATGGGACACGTAGAAATAATGTGGCTCTGAAACGTGGAGATGCTGAAGTATCAATCTCAGGCCTGGTCACCAAGCAAGATGGAGGTTGTTATATCGCTCCGTAAAATGCTTACTCAATCCATATCAATCTGGTGTCAATGATTACTGTTCTTTTACTATTTATATGTTTTTATGTCCTTATAAGCATATTCGTCAATATGGCAACAGAAATAAAAAATTTGAAGGCTATCTTTGAAATATTCGACAAGTTAAATTCTAAAGTTGATGAAGCTATGTGTTCGTTATCGTTTCTAAGTGCAAAATATGATGAGCTAAATGATAAAGCTATAAATATGGAAGCAGGAATGAAAAAGCTAAAAGATGAGAACTCTATTTTAAAACGCGATCTTGCTAACACAAAGGTTGAAAATGATCTATTGAAAATTGCTCAAGACGAACTTGAGCAGTATGGAAGACAAGAATGTGTCGAAATAAGAGGGATTCCTTTGGTTCCTGACGAGAATACTAATGAAATTGTCATAAAATTGGCATCTAAACTTGGGATTGATATTACCGAAACTGATATATCTATTAGTCATCGCTTGGGGACCCCAGCTGCTGGCAGTACCCGTTCTGGTCGTTCTTTCAGTACAATTCCGGTGCCAGCTATTATTATTAAATTTACACAACGAGATATTAGAGATAAGCTGTACACTTCAAGATCTAAGTTGAGAAATGTCAGTTTGAAAGATCTTGGCTACACTAGACATGTAGAATCGAAGGTTTTTATGGTGGAGAGCTTAACTAAGAAACGTAAGCTTCTGTTTAAAGCATGTCTTGAAAAGAAAAGGGAAATTGGTTTTCAATTTATATGGACACGTTATGGGAAAATCTATTTACGTAAGGATAAAGACAGCTCAGCTATACTTATCGAGAACATTCAAGATCTGCAGAGACTTTCAAGATAAGTTTATATATTGCCAATCTATTTAATATTTGTTGTGTGGTAAATTAGTACAAGGGTTAATAATAGATGGAACTTGTATATTTAATGTTAATCATGAGTGACTTAGATCTAAATGATTTGCCTTGCTTTGATGTTGCCTCAGCAATATCAAAGATTCCCAATCTTACAAAATGTTGATATTGATCAACATGTTCCTAGTCAGATAAATTTTAATTATTATTCCGAGCAGGATTTTCTCAATTGTAGGGAAATTTCCTCTTTATCCAAACATGATCTTTTTTCAACCATGCACTGTAATATTAGGAGTCTTGCAGCCAATATTGATAAACTTTCTTTACTACTCTCCCAATTAAAGTTTCCATTTTCTGTGATTGGAATTTTGGAAACAAAGATAAAACAGCAACAAGATTGTATAATTAATACTGACATTAGTGGGTATAATTTTCTATCACAACCTTCTCTATCAAATGCTGGTGGGGTTGGATTATTTGTGAACAATAATTTAAAATACTCGAAAAGAGATGATCTATGCACTTCAAAAAATGAATTCGAAGCATTGTGGATTGATATTGAAGGTCATCATCGGGGAATAACATGTGGTGTTTTATATCGACACCCAAAAGCAAACCTTGAAAATTTTACTAATTATTTATACTCTATCCTTGACAAAATTGCTAATGAAAATAAATTATTAATATTAATGGGAGATCT